CGGAAAGGAAAGGCAGCCGAAAGTAAGAGGGGTTGCAATGGAGAAAAGTGTCAAACACACGTGCAACAGCAGAAACGACAGTGCATGTGACGCCAACCACAACCCCACAAGAGCCGCTACCAACCTGCACCTGAACCTGAACCTGAACCTGAACCTGCACCTGAACCTGAACCTGAGGGGGAGTGGGCTCGAGTGGAGTGTGGTGGCAGGGGCGATACTGCAACCTCAACCGTTGATGAGGCCGGCGCTGCTGCCCCGCTGCCCGCGCTCCTGCTGCCCGCCCTGGTGCTCCCCTCGCCTGCTGCTCGCCTGCTGCCCTCCCCCTGGCTTGTGAAGGCCTGGCAGGGAAGGGATGGGAGGGAGGGCAGGGAAAGGAAAGGCAGCCGAAAGTAAGAGGGGTTGCAATGGAGAAAAGTGTCAAACACACGTGCAACAGCAGAAACGACAGTGCATGTGACGCCAACCACAACCCCACAAGAGCCGCTACCAACCTGAACCTGCACCTGAACCTGAACCTGAGGGGGAGTGGGCTCGAGTGGAGTGTGGTGGCAGGGGCGATACTGCAACCTCAACCGTTGATGAGGCCGGCGCTGCTGCCCCGCTGCCCGCGCTCCTGCTGCCCGCCCTGGTGCTCCCCTCGCCTGCTGCTCGCCTGCTGCCCTCCCCCTGGCTTGTGAAGGCCTGGCAGGGAAGGGATGGGAGGGATGGAGGGCAGGGCGGAAAGGAAAGGCAGCCGAAAGTAAGAGGGGTTGCAATGGAGAAAAGTGTCAAACACACGTGCAACAGCAGAAACGACAGTGCATGTGACGCCAACCACAACCCCACAAGAGCCGCTACCAACCTGAACCTGCACCTGAACCTGCACCTGAACCTGAACCTGAACCTGAGGGGGAGTGGGCTCGAGTGGGGTGTGGTGGCAGGGGCGATACTGCAACCTCAACCGTTGATGAGGCCGGCGCTGCTGCCCCGCTGCCCGCGCTCCTGCTGCCCGCCCTGGTGCTCCCCTCGCCTGCTGCTCGCCTGCTGCCCTCCCCCTGGCTTGTGAAGGCCTGGCAGGGAAGGGAGGGGAGGGAGGGCAGGGCGGAAAGGAAAGGCAGCCGAAAGTAAGAGGGGTTGCAATGGAGAAAAGTGTCAAACACACGTGCAACAGCAGAAACGACAGTGCATGTGACGCCAACCACAACCCCACAAGAGCCGCTACCAACCTGAACCTGAACCTGCACCTGAACCTGAACCTGAGGGGGAGTGGGCTCGAGTGGGGTGTGGTGGCAGGGGCGATACTGCAACCTCAACCGTTGATGAGGCCGGCGCTGCTGCCCCGCTGCCCGCGCTCCTGCTGCCCGCCCTGGTGCTCCCCTCGCCTGCTGCTCGCCTGCTGCCGTTCCCCTGGCTTGTGAAGGCCTGGCAGGGAAGGGATGAAAGGGAGAGCAGGGCGGAAAGGAAAGGCAGCCGAAAGTAAGAGGGGTTGCAATGGAGAAAAGTGTCAAACACACGTGCAACAGCAGAAACGACAGTGCATGTGACGCCAACCACAACCCCACAAGAGCCGCTACCAACCTGAACCTGCACCTGAACCTGAACCTGAACCTGAACCTGAGGGGGAGTGGGCTCGAGTGGAGTGTGGTGGCAGGGGCGATACTGCAACCTCAACCGTTGATGAGGCCGGCGCTGCTGCCCCGCTGCCCGCGCTCCTGCTGCCCGCCCTGGTGCTCCCCTCGCCTGCTGCCCTCCCCTTGTGCCGGCCTGGGAGGGAAGGGAGGGCAGGGGCGGGAGGGCAGTGTGGAGAGGAATGAGGAGAGAGCGTCGAGTGCTGAAATTGCAAGAATGATGCGTGCATGAGTGGACTGCTGCTGTGGCACACCCCAGAGACCTCGTACCGGCTGAACCAAAGTCAAATGAATTCCTGAGGCTGTACCAAAAGAAAAGATACCTGGTACCTTGGGGGAGGGAGGTCTCTGGGATGGCGCACGGCAGCAAGGGAGCGAGCATGGAAGCGCGTGCAAGCATGGAATGGAAGGCAGAGAGCAGCGAGGAGCCGAGGAGCAGTGTGGGGCACTTAGCTGTGGCGAGGGTGAGAGGCGAGTGGAGTGGAGAGGAGGCACGGCTGCTGCTGCTGCATGTAGAGGCGAGGCGAGCGGACGACACTCAGCTGCTTGCCTCCCTCGCCTCTCCGCTTGCCCGTCCGCCCATCCGCCCTCATAGCCGTGCATCTGGTGGGAGATTGAGGCGGCGCAGGCAGGGAGATTGACGCAGAGGGGCAGCAAGGTTGAGAGGGGACAAGCAGCACATGGAAGGACGGAAGCAGCCTGACGAGGAGAGCACCAGGACATGGAGAGCAGAGCAGCACTGGAGCAGTGGAAAGCGAGAGCAGAAAACGCGGTGGTGGCGAGAGGAGGAGGGAAGCGAGGGGAGTACCTTGCGTGGTGATGTGATGGGTGGAGTGGAGGGCGGCCATCCAACAGCGCGTGGCAGAGCCTATTGACGCCCGCTTGCTCTCGCTTGACAATGGTCCCCGCCTTGGCCTGCTCCATCTCCACCCATTGCCGCTCACCATGGTGCGTCTGCCAGGTCACGCGACACACGGAGTTAGAATTCCTGGGAAAACGAAAATCGCGGGTTAAAAAAGCGAAGATTCCATGAGAGAGAAACCGCGCTCCAGAGCTTCCTTACTTGGTGACGAGTGTAACGGATGGCGAAGTCGCGAAGTGTAACGGATGGCGAAGTCGCGAAGTGTAACAAACGGTGAAGTCGCGAAGTGTAACGGATGGCGAAGTCGCGAAGTATAACAGACGGCGAAGTCGCGAAGTGTAACGGATGGCGAACTCGCGAAGTGTAACGGATGGCGAAGTCGCGAAGTGTAACGGATGGCGAAGTCGCGAAGTGTAACGGACGGCGAAGCCGCGAAGTGTAACGGATGGCGAAGTCGCGAAGTGTAACGGATGGCGAAGTGGCGACGGTTGACGTGGAAGAGCGAGCACTGGCGGATTGGAATGTCGGACGACTTGAAATGGTTGTGCGCTCGCCTGCAAGTCGCGAGAGACACGACGATTAGCTGCTTTTCCGAGAATTGCGAAGGTGACGAATCAATTGATGAACTATCCGATTCAGAGCTATTTTTACCGGAGTTGCTAAGCTCGACGCGGAACAGGCGAGGTTGGCGACGACCAGCGAAAATCGACGTCGAAATTGAAATTGCACGCGAATCCCGAAAAACGGACGTCGAAAATCGACATTTCCACGTGATATCTCAAAGAATGACGCTGACCGGTGAAGGCTAACGGCGAATAGCGAAGACTGGCTTGTACGAGCAAAATCTGGTCCAAGAATGCCGTATGGCTCTGAATCTACAAGAGCACGACGTCGTTTCGGCAAGGAACGGCGTGAGCCGAGAAGCTAGAGCGAGAAATCGACAGCAAAACGTGAAGCAGGCGGACTAGAATGAGGCAAAACGAGTCTGCTGCATGAAAGCGTGGGTCCTCGCCACAACCCAACCCCAAGGCTACCGACCGACATTCTACCAACTCGAGAGAGGGTGCAAAAAAACTCAACCGTTCATCAAAACGAAGTTGAACCGAGAAAAAACGCAACGGTTGAACGGAAATTTGATGGATTGGTCCAGAATTGTCGTGTCAGGGATAGTTGAACCCCAACCGTAAAATCGGAGGTCAAAGGCTTCACGATTGGTGGGTATTCGTGTCCGTGAATTGACGATTTAGAACATAAGCACGCAGCGCTGTCGGCGGCGGGACGAAGGGCAAAATTGCGCGAGGAATTGGCCAACGAATGGGTCTCAGGCAACAAGGGCGGCGGCAGCCATGAAAAGGGAGGAAAAGCGGGAGGAAGATCTGATGGGAGCAGATTGGAATTGGAGTCTCCCTCTCACACCCTCTGACACCTGCAACGGCTACCAGACCCCGTCCCGCTAACTCGTTCTCGTCTGGTCATCGACAACGAAGTGAGCTGTAACTGGTCGTGCATTTCGCAAAAAAAACATGAAGAGCTGAAATGTTTGCGAAACACAAATTATGGTACGTGGTAACTGGTTGGGTGTGAGAAACTGAACGAGCTTGAGGGGTTTCCAGTACCGGGTGGGAGGGTGTTATTGGGCTGGGAGGAGAAGCGGAGACGTTTTCAGACTCAGAAGTTTTGACGCTTAGATAAAATCCGTCGTTTTTTCAACTTCACGTGGAGTCTCCTGGTGACGCGAACCTTGACACTTCTTTCTGACCATTGTCAGGAACACGTATTGGTGATTCTGAAATTGTCGGCAGAGACGAGCCTCATTGGGTGAGTTGGATAGCGCGGATGCGAACACCATGATCCAGGTTTTCGAGTACACCAAATGTACCTAGAGTATTTGGCTGGTATAATATTTCCTTGTAATCTACATATACTGCATATTATAAGCAGGTTACATTTATCGTATTTCCGAGGCCCCTGCAGTTTGTGCAGAGGCAACAGAGCTGCCATCCCCCTTCCGCCACACGCAACCCAGCCCAGACCTACCTCCAACCCCTTCCCCCCATCCCCCTCATCCCCCATCCCCTTCCCCCCTCCCGAGTCCCTCTTTCCACGGGCGATTGCATTTCCGCCTTTCTTACCCACCACCGCCACCATCTCCTTACTCTCATTCCCTCATAACCCTAACCTTAGCAAACTACAGGTTCCGCGTCGTGTTTGTCCGAGTATCTGAACTTCTGGAGAATAATTCGTTTACGTGTGACAGTTTACCACAACCTCCGATTCTCGTTAAACGGATCGATCTCATGGGCACGGACACGTGGCATGATAGCGGTAGCCGCGACCGCTATCGCGACTCCTCCCACTCGCACTCGCACGACGACTACCATCGCGACTCGCGTTCGCACTACGGGGACGGTCGTCGTGACAACCACTGGACGGCGAGCCGCGACGATGACTGGGAGGAGCTGGAGGATAAGAACGACCCGGAATTGCAGGGGCTAGAGTATTCCGAGTTTCGGCGCAAGAAACGCGAGAAGATGCGCCGCCTGCACCGCCGCCTGCTCTGGCGCATCACGCCCAGCCCCCCCCGGGATCGCCCGCCGATTCCTGCGCCGCCGGCGGAAGCGAACGGGCATGCGAAGGGCGGGAGCAGGAGCGGATCGGAGGACGACGAGAGGGATAGGAGTGACGGTGAACGGAGGAGTGGGGATGAGGGGAAGGAGAGGGAGCAGGGCGGATTGGCAAACGGGGACGTGGATGCGGCTGGGGAACGACAGAAGGATGAAGGGCGGGATGCAAAGGACGGCGGCGGGAAAAGTGAGGAGGACAAGGGTGCTAAGCAGGGGCCGAGCGGCGGAGAGAAAGAGGCGTTGGAGAATGGGAAGGAAGGCGGAGAGGGCGGTTCGTCGGACGATGAACGCCTCGCGAAAAAGAGGAAGGAGAAGCAGGATGGAGTCAGCGCGAAAGGCAAGGGTAAGGGGCGGAAGCAGGCGGAGGATAGTGATAGCAGTGAGGGGGAGAGCGATGACGAGAGTGACGATGAGAGTAGTGATTCGGAAGTGGACAGGCGGAAGAAGAGAGGGAAGGGGAAGAAGCGGAAGAGCAGCAGCAGCAGCAAGAAGTCAAAGCGAGGGAAGAAACGGAGTAAGAAGGAGAGCAAGAAGAAGCGGAAAGGGCGGAGCAGCAGCAAGGGCAGCAGGCGGCGACGTCGCAGCCGTCATGACTCGTCGTCGGATGAATCCGAATCGGAATCCGAGGACGAAGAAAGCGAGAGCGGCTCGAGCGAGGACGAGTCGTCCAGTGACGCGGGCGACGAGAGCGACGGAGGGGCCAAGAAGCGCTCGAGGAAAGCGGGCAAAGCGGGGAAGAAGAGCGGAAGCGAGAAAGGCGAGGAGGATGAGGACGACGACGAGGAAGGGGGAGGTGGCGAGGAGGACGAGGAGATGGACCCTGAAGTGCTCTTGTTCAAGCAGTACGTGGAAGAGCAGAAGCGCGCACAGCTCGCCGCCATGGAAGCTGAGCCTTTTGTTGGTCCCGCACCCGCGCCCAAGGCGGAGGGGCACATCAGCTACGGAGGGGCGCTGCGTCCCGGAGAAGGAGACGCCATTGCGCAGTACGTGCAGCAAGGGAAGCGTATTCCCCGTCGTGGTGAGGTGGGTTTGTCAGCAGACGAGATTTCGAAATTCGAAGAGCTGGGGTATGTGATGAGTGGAAGCAGGCATCAAAGGATGAATGCTATTCGTATCCGAAAGGAAAACCAGGTGTACAGTGCGGAGGATAAGCGGGCGCTGGCGATGTTTAACTATGAGGAGAAGGCGAAGAGGGAGCACAAGGTGATGTCGGACCTGCAGCGGCTGGTGCAGAGGCACATGGCGGCACAGGAGGGGGGCAAAGAGGGAGGTGGTGGTGGTGCTGGTAGTGGGGATGCGGATGCGGAGTGAGTTGGGAGCTGTGGTTTTGTGGTTGTTTGGATGTCGTGAGAGGGAGGGATTGATGCAGTAAGATGGTGGGGTTCTAAGCTTGGGTGTGCTGGATGGAAGTTTGTGTTGGTAGGGAGGGAGTGAGTTTCTTGCTCTATTCGTGTTTCATCCATGATTTGGCTGTATGCCAACTAAAGATGAACCATTGCCATCAATGCCTAGACGAATTACTGCAGCAATTTCCACACCAATCTGTAGCTCTTCTGCACTTCACAATTTCATGCTGATTTATACTATACTCTGTTCAGCATTGGGCGAAAGATCTTAAAGCTCAAGGCCCAAATTGCGGGCCGCGCGAGGCAAGTTTAGTAAGGTTGATCGAGTGCTGCTTTGCAGCTTTAGCTGGGCGAATTGTGGTTACGAAATGTACGAAGCCATCTGGTTGGCCAGAACATTTGAGTCAGCGAGTGGAACAGGTGGAGCGGGAAACTGGCAAGAGTGAGGGCGCGTGTGATCTTGCCGAACCTGACCGAAAGTTCGAACTTTCATAACGGTTCGTCACAGTAGGATACAATTGGAAGAGTTTTGCCACGGTGCAACACGGTTTGAGTTCGAACTTTGTCAGGTTCGGCAAGATCACACGCGCCCTAATATTTGTGCAATATGGGACTGACGCAACCAAACCTGAGCGTCCCCTAGGCTCTGCTGAGTCAGCGAATTTTGTTTTGCGTGTGGCAAGAAGCTGGGCGAAAGCAAACCCCTACACCCCCACCTCGACTTTCCTGCTCAGCTCCCCCACCACCCAAGGGCCAACTTTAGTAATCATGAACAATTTGGGCCTTGAGCTTTAAGGTGACACTTGAGCACTGTTGTGGTGTGCTGGCTATGTCAAATATAGATATGATAATTTTTGAAAGTGTAATGAAATGTAACACTTTCTAAAATTTTGTATTGTGAAAAGGGGTACGTGGCCAACACAGCAAAGGTAGCGCCATTGCGCTACTCACCCTCTTTTGCCTACAAAAGAGGGACGTGGGGACATTCGTCCCCACCCACGTTTTCATTTTCAAAATTGTAGTTCTAATTTCGTTCTCGTCCACACTGGCGAAGACTCTATCGCTTCCGCGCTTCACTGCCCCGTCAACGCTTCTTAACGACATCCTTAAGCGCAACCTCGCAGCGATGGCTCCAGTCAACCCGGCACTTAATCGCGACAACTCGAATATTTCTAGCCCCGGTAACGCGGCGGAAACCTCGACTCCGGCCGGGACAACGGATCGTCGCGGCGGAAAACGTCCCGCCGAAGAAATTTCAAGCGAGGGACCCTCGGCGGTCGACCTCCTGCTCGGAGGCACCCTTCGGACCCCCCCTGAGGAACGCGCGACTGTTGTACAGTCGCGCGTGGCTGCTGCTGAAGAGCGCGTGCCTGGCAGGCACGTGCGTGTTGCGTAGAAGACGACGACCGCCGCTGACGCGGCGGCCGTCTTGACCGGCGCTGACGCGGGTCCATCCGGGCCCACGACCCAGAAACGCCAGCGCGCGGCACCCTCCGATGACGTCACCCCGGTCAACGCACCCCCCCCTTTTGACTGCGCAGCAGCTGCAGGCGCTGCTCTCGTTATTGCAGCAGCACGCTCCATCGACTGCAGCTACATCAACGGAAGAAATTTCCGCTTCCGCTAAAATCGAAAAGCAGAAGGAAAACGTCGCAGCCCCCCGCTCCACCAAAATCGCTCGCACCAACAACGCTGCTCCTGCTCCCGCCCCGGCTCCGGCACCAACCCAAGCCCGTATCCCCGACGACAGCGACGACTCGGAAAATGAAGACGGTGAGGCCCCCGACAACCTTGCTCGTCGTCGCATTCTCGCACCCGCACCTCCCCTTCCCCCCCTTAACCCTACACCCGCAGCTACTACCTTCATGCGCAAGGGAGTGCGTGACCAGGCGGAGGTGTTCTCCGCAATTCAAGCTCACCTGAGGCACGTCGAGTTCAAGCTCCAAAACGGCGACGTCGAGGGCGCGCTCTCCAACGTGGAGCAAATCGAAACGTTGATCAACAAACGCTTCGAGGTGCTCTTGGTGGCGGATGAGGCCGGTTTCGAAGCGGCGGATCGGTTCCAGCTGTACCAAGCCAAGAGCGTGCTCACGTCCCGCTCTTACAAGCTCTCAAGCGTGCACGTACCGGCTTCGCCCGCGGAGGCCGCCTTCCCCCTCGAGACGGTGAACCGGAAAGCAAGGGCATGCCACCCGCGGGCTGCCACGAGCCCCGCTTCAAGGGGGTGTGTTTCCGTTGCGGCCAGCCCGGCCATATGGCAAACAATTGCCCTATGGGAGGGCGTGGCGCACAAGGTCCCACACCCGTGGTGTGAGAGGACCCATGGGGCGGCGCCCCTTGCCACTATGCCGGGGGGCGTAGGTGGATGCACCGGTGGTGCGTAGGCTGGTTAGGAGCCTTGGAACGTAGTATAGGCCATGGGGGCCAGGGCAAGATGGCAGCCGTAGGGGCTGGTTATTGTGTAGGCCTAGGCTTGTATGCCTTTGTGTGGATTAATAAAAGAATTTTGTTATTGGACAAAAAAAAAAAAAAAAAACAATGGAGAGAGAGAAAGGGAGACAACATGAGGAGAGAAGACAAATGGCACAACCAATCAAAAATCTAGCCCCCTCTTGAGGAAGGCAGCCATGGAGGAAGGATTGGCCAGGGGTGAATGACAAAGCAAGGACCAAGAGAAAAACAAAGAAGAAGGGGAGAGAGAGAGAGAGAGAGAGAGAGAGAGAGAGAGAGAGAGAGAGAGAGAGAGAGAGAGAGAGAGAGAGAGAGAGAGAGAGAGAGAGAGAGAGAGAGAGAGAGAGAGAGAGAGAGAGAGAGAGAGAAGAGAGAGAGAGAGAGAGAGAGAGAGAGAGAGAGAGAGAGAGAGAGAGAGAGAGAGAGAGAGAGAGAGAGAGAGAGGAGAGAGAGAGAGAGAGAGAGAGAGAGAGAGAGAGAGAGAGAGAGAGAGAGAGAGAGAGAGAGAGAGAGAGAGAGAGAGAGAGAGAGAGAGAGAGAGAGCTCTCTCTCTCTCTCTCTAGCTCGTCACGAAGACATCATGATAAACAAGGTCATGGGACCTAGTGACGCAAATGCGCCAATCTCGTTGCAAGGCAATCCAAAAAAAAAAAAAAAAAATGCAAGAGTGTCAAAGCTGAGGGTTGCTCAAGCGAAGTGTTGAAAAAAAAAAAAACAAAAACAAAACAAAACAACCCCGGGAGTGCGGGGAGGCGCGACGGCGGTAGAAGACAAGCGACATAGTTTGCCCCACACAGCGTGCCGTATTATCTCGCGCCTAATCGACCTTGGTCCTGGTCCCCCCCCCCCACAACCTCGGTTGCCCATTAATTGCAGAAGTGGAAGGCGAGTGGCGGAGTGCTCATTGGGACCCATACGAGGACGCAATAACGGACAACATGGTGTCCATCATGCGCATGCGATTGCGCAATAGCCTCCATTGGTGGCTGTCATGGTGCGACAGCAGTCTTATCCTTTCCATCATTGCCAGAGGGTACTGGCTACCATGGAAGGGCGCGGAGCCTCTCCCCTTCGAAGCGCCCAATCACGCAGGCGTCCAAGCACACATGGCATTCACCCAAGACGCGGTCAGCGACCTCATCGCGTCAGGCGCCGCGATGCATGTCTCGTCGAAAGCCGCACTTACGTGCATCAGCCCGCTCAATGTTGTGGAGCAACGAGACAAATGTCGGCTCATCCTTGACCTGCGGAAGGTCAACGCTCACCTCCAAGTTCCCAAGTTCAAGTACGAAGGCTTGAGTCGGGTCGCGGAAATCATTCGCCCAAACGACTGGATGTTCACAATCGATCTCAAGTCAGGCTACCACCACGTCGAAATCCACCCATCGTGCTGGAAGTTTTTGGGCTTTCAATTGGGCGGAAATTTCTATTGCTTCACATCCTTACCTTTCGGCCTGGCAACAGCCCCGTTCGTCTTCACCCAGCTTATTAAGCAACTAGCCAAGAGATGGCGCGCGCGCGGAGTGCGCGTAATACCATACGTGGACGATCTACTATTCCTCTGCGACTCCGAGGCGCTAGCCCGTTCGACGTGCATCGAAGTTCTCTACGACCTGAAGGCGGCAGGATTCGTGATAAATTCTAAGAAATCACACCTGCATCCCGCACACCACTTGCGCTTTTTGGGGATGGAGCTTGACACGGAACGAGGGATGTTCATTGTCGGAAAGGATCGGCGCGAACAACTACTGCAGGAGCTCCACCTACTTATAAAAAAAGGGCAATCGGGTCGCCAAGTGCCGATTCGCAAGATAGCCCGGATCACTGGATTTCTCAGCTCCATGTCGCTCGCGCTGGGCACGACGGCGCGTGCCTTCAGCCATGAGCTTCTGCACTTGATCGACTCCGCATGGTCATGGAACTCAAAGGTTTTATTGTCACCAGGAGCGACCGAGGAGCTGCTGTTTTGGACAATGCACTTCGATCGTTTCAATGGCGCCCCATTCCACCAGAGTCAGCGTTTTGATGCCGTGATACACGTCGACGCAAGCGCACACAGCTGGGGTGCCACTCTGGCCAGCGAGTGCATGCCACAAGGGCTTCTCCCCACATCTAGTACGCGGCGAGAGCTCGAGGGAGTGCTCTGGGCACTGCGGACGTTCGCAACCCAAATCGTGGGTGCTCACGTCCTCGTCCGGGTAGACAACCAGGCAGTCATGTTTATCTTGCGCAAAGGGGGATCCCGTCAGGCGGATCTTACGTTGACATGCCAAGCGATCATCCAGTTCTGTCTCGGCAACACAACACGCCTCGCGATCGAATGGATTCCGAGAGAGCTCAACGCCCATGCGGATGACCTATCCAAGATGCAAGATTTTGACGACTACTCCCTACACGCACCTTGGTTTCGCCTCTTGGAACGACGCTGGGGGCCTCACACAATTGATCTCTTTGCTAACGTTCGGAACAATCACGTTCAGCGCTTCTGCTCTAAGATACCGCACCCCGACGCGT